ACTATTTGGTGTTTTCTCTGGCAGTGTAGTGGGATATTGTTCCATTCAAAGGTGGAGCTTGGTGGTTTGTAGACTGACGTTATTGAGATGTTAGCAAGAGAGATGGTAATAATTTCAATATTATTGTCAGAGCAGTTAATGCAGGTATTTTCTATAAACAAAGATGGTTTGGCAAAAATTGCTGAGCCATACTTTTCATGTCTGACTTTGGCAGCAAGCTTCATGCCTGGGATAATTGGTCTTCTACTAGTGGGCTTCAGGTGCGTTTCTTGTAAGCAAAGGATGTTGCTTACAAGATTTTTACAATTGCTGCTTTGTTGCGCTACTACTTCTGCCTTCATGATCGTGTATCCCTCAATGTTGAGTGATGCAACTGCCAAAATCGGCACATCTTTGTAGTAACGAGAGTGTCCATGTTGTTTTTACATTCCAACTTAAAAGCACAACTCGGGAAATGAGAGCATCCAAGGAGCGCGTGAATGCAGTAATTACACTTGCTCTGATGGCAGCAGGTAGCCTTCCGTTAACTAAGCTAAACATGCTTAAATTAAAATGCCTAAAGCTAAACCTCCCTTGTATTCACATTTCTAAACCTGTTGTCCAACAAAAGAGAAAATTATAACCTATTTTACTCCACAACACCAGTCAAATGCTTCCTTTTGTGATCTGATGAGGCTTCTTGTCACAGAATGAGGCAGAAAATATGTTCCATATGCTACTTTAAAAAGAATACATCGATTAGCAATAGATTATAAATTAGGGTGACCCATACGTTTTCTTTTCCCCGGACATGTCCTCTTTTTGGACCTACAAAAATGCATCCGACCTGGATTTCTTAATTGTCCAAAATATCCGGGATTCGGCTGTTTTCTTAATCCCACTCCCGCTGAATCTCTGACCATTGCCTCCTGCTCCCGCAACATGTGTTTCGCTCCCGCGATTTTCGTGTCCACTCCATTAAAAAAACTTTCATGGACTTCTACATTAACTGTTCCCTCCTGGTGGAATGACCTGCTCAGCTCAATCCAAGCAGCTGAGTCCTTAATATTTTCAAGAAACGGCTGAAAACACATCCTTTTCATCTTCATTTGACCCTCTAACTTTAGCACTCTCTATTCTATTTCTATACTAATGGCTAATCCATCATTTTTGGGAGGCATTTTTTATTAATTCCTTTCTTTTTTTAATAAGTATCGATTTGGTACCGGTATCGAAAAAAAAAAAAAAACGATACCAACCCTAATTCTGATGTTTATTATATAAAGACTGGTGGAGCTTCTGATGTAATTTGTAGTCATAGGTTGTATAGAGATTGGCCTCTGAGTGTTAGTCAGAGTTTCCAGGATGTGCCAAGTGGAGGCTCTCTATGTGCATTAATATTAATAGATACATTAATGTAATCTATGGAAGCACCAATATCAAAATTGAGGCTCATACTAATAGGACGATATATACTTTCATGCTATGGCTGATAACCGATAAAATATATTATGCATCCTAGGGATGTAAAATCGATTAATCAAAATGTATCGATTTTACAGCCCTAATGCATCCTAATACAACATCTTATAAACCACCCAGAACACCCTAACAAGTGTTAGGGTAATGCTCACTTGTTAACATTTTAGCAACCACACGGCAAAACCTGGCAACCAATAACAACACCCCAGCAATGTGGCGGTGAGTCTTGGGCAAATAGTTTTACACTTTCTAACCCTAACCACTGCTGCTGTTCTTGAACTCCAAGCACAAATCCAGACTTTGCTCTGCTAACAAAACTCTGCCGACTACAGCATCAGGCACTGTCCTTCAACCAGTCCCGAAGTGGTCCAAAGAGCGGATGTGGCACCCTCCCAAGGGTCAAGCCTCTTCACTGACAAACCATTTCCTGACATTATAAAGCTGTGACTGTGAAGGAAAAAAACTGTTTGGACAAACTTGTTTTGTTTTACGATGTGCAGCAATGAGAATTGAGAGCTTTCATAAACGCATATTAATGTGTGACGTTTTAAGTGTTGCACACTTCTGCAGGACAAAAATCAGAGCTATATGAATGCCGCCCAACACCCTGACTTCCTATTTCCTGCTTCAAAAGGAAAGAGGAAAACCAGTCTGCTCTAAAAGCAATGGCCGGAATGAAGCGCACCACCCTTTCCTACATCCTGCAAAGAAACAATAAGTCTGCTCTCACAGATGTGAAGACAGAGAAAGATAATAACTCATGAAACACAATCCTATGCACAGGTTTCATGCCTTTCGGCTGGAAAAGAGAGACGTTTTTTTACAATGTAAGGTCGAGAATGTGCATCAACAGAATCATGTACAAACCTTATGGAATATGAATATAGGTACTACTCATACAGAACCATGTTTTTATGTAAGTATTATGGTATTACCATCTTAGTACAGTGCTTTTGTAAGGGATCACTCCTGAGGACTCTCTCTCCGCAGGTTTGTTTTACTTCCTTCCACATTGCAAGATCTCACTTAGATTTCACTTTCCCATATGCTTTTGAACATGTTCATTGGCATGTTGGTGTGATTTTAATCTCCTTATCAAATTATCACTATTGCTCTGATCTACAAGAATGAATGAGAAGTACCATATAAATCACTCCAAACTAATAAATAAACAATAAACAAGTGAATTAACCAATCATAGACACACTAAGTTTCTGTGAACCCATCAGGCAAGTTCCAGAAATGCTTCCTTAGCGAGAAGTGAGTAGATTCCCACTAAAGTAGAGCATCAACTCTTGATGAGCAGGCAAGATTCTAACACTAACCAATCAATCAGTAATGTCAAAATTTGTGATTTCTCGTTAACATTTTATAGCTGACGTCACATGATCGGAGATTTTTAATTTCAGTTTGCCCCTCTGACAGATGATGTCTTTCAAAGCGCCAAAAACATGTCATAATACAGATACAACTACCATGTGTAACATTTTATGTTAGAACGGTCTAATATTAATATATTAGATTGCCCTGAGTCACATAAATCATAATCATAAAATGTGTAAACATGTCAGTGGTTCCATCTGTGACCAGAAAAAAAACAGATCCTAACATCTTAATCATTTACATCATAAATGTATACACACACACACATACATACATACATATATATATATATATATATATATATATATATAATTGCACATTTCACAGTTTAGTTACATTAAACGTAACAGGTGAAATACAATTTTTTTTTTTCTGGATCATCACTCTATAGCTAATTACCTAAAATTATCATAGAATGGGGAAAACACACACACACACACACACATGTTACTTTATTGTTTGAAACTATGCATTGGGTTTCTATTGAGCAACTGTAGTTTTCCAGTGTTTATAACTTTTAGAGAGAAAATAAACACTTTAGTATTACTGCGCTATGACTTAAATGTATTTTTAAACGGACAGCCCTAAGCTCGTTCCCGTGAAATATCTATTTGAATATTTAAGAGTAGTTCCGATATCACTATCATATCACATTACAGTTCATGGCGCTCAATGCATCCTCTTTTCACCCACATGAAGTCTGATTATTTAAGATTTAAAGAAGATATACACCATGTATTCGTTGCGAAGTACTTAAACCGTTAGAAGTGTTGAATAGAAGTAGTTTGGTTGCAGTGTCCCACCGTTGCGAAGCCCAGCGAGTTGAGCTAAACAAAGGTTCATCCCAGTGTAACTCGTGGCGGATCTCTTTATCTCTCCCATTCGAGGCAATCCCGATGCGCGGGACAACTAACCTACTGCACGACATCTCTACAGTTTAGCACTCGGTAAAGTTCACCTACCTGTTAATCTTATGCGCAAAAGCCCTCCGTTCGCTGGGTAAAGTTGCCATCCCATCTAGACAGGGAGAGCTCCTTACAGTTTCCCTGTACTTTGGTAATATTATTGTGGAGTCGTAAGCTTCCTTGTGTCAGTTTGCGCATAATAGCGCCTCCTCGCGGCCTGGGGGCGAATGGCGCTGTTGACTAGCTCACCAAACCGGTTTCCAACGACGCTCCTGTCTCCGTCTCTGGGGATCTGCGATGGTTAACGTTTCTAGATAATTCAAGGTGATGAATGTACATAAAAGGGGAATAATGCCAACTCTGCAGACTACCAAGAACACCACAAGCCATCTGTTATCCTGCTTAAGTGTTAGGCTTTTCATTTCTTTAAGATGCTGTTCAAAAACAGCATATCAAAGACATATTTAAATAGCCTATATTCATTCAGAATAGTTTATTGTTCCGATATTGTTGTAAAACAGTTCGTTAGCCAACTGTAGACTTCTACCGGATGTCGGGCGATACAATATAGAATTCAGTATTAATGTAGAATACGTATTTTACAATGGTTAGTTGGTGCTTTCTCGTGTGAATGAAAGTGTTGGAGCTGTGTGATTTTTGCCTGAGGCGAGGAGCAAGTTTTTTAACCGTTAAGTCTCTGATTTCTCGTGAATATTTTGCCCATGAGGAAATGTAAAACCCGGAGTGGAGCAGAAGCTGGGAGGAGAAATCTCTGTCGATCCGCTCCACTCACACACGCTGATCCAGACCGGACTACAGTCTGCGTGTTACTTGCAAACATACAAGCAAAAGATTTATGTTTTGCCTTCGCCTGACTGAGGAGAATCGAGAAGAAACGAGGAATAGGAAATAAGTGACCTATTTTTGTATGAAAAGTAAGTTACTCCATGAAATGCTTGTTTAAGAACTGTTTCTTAAACTGTAACTGTGGTTCATCCTAACAGAATTTATACCCTGGGATGTAGGCTATGCATAGCCTTTTTAGGACATTTACAATAGGATATGCATATGTCATTTACATTATTTCGCAAATATGTCATCATGTAAGTTTAAAATGTAAAATATATATATAGAGAGAGAGAGAGAGAGAGAGAGAGAGAGAGAGAGAGATGTTAATCGTGGTCACCTTTTCAGGACAACATAAAAAAGTTTTCAGAATAAAACTGCAATGTAATGACAAAAATTAGTCATTTTTCATTGTCAATAATTTGTCCCTTAAATACTTTTAGACAATTCTAAAGATATAATCCCTGACAAAAGAAGCATTGGAGTGCTTCTGGTGGACTTAATCATATAATGCAATTAGTAGGGCTGTGCAATATATCGAAATGATCGAAATATCGCAAATGTACATATTGCAATATGCATATCGCTGCAGCTTGCGATATTTGGGGCCATGAACAAAAGACAGAGAAAATCACTCACTGCTCTTACCTAAATAACTTTTGTAGCTAAATAAGAATAAGTGCATATTGAATTCAAAGAGTAAATACTAAGCAGTGTTTATTTTTTTCTCCTTTTTATTATTCAGTTCCTAAACTCATGTTAAAATGACATTTTTATGTAATGCTTGAGTAAAACACTACCGTTCACTTTCAGAAGTTGTTGTAGGGGCATTCTGTTGTAGGGGCAGAATGAGCTTTATTCACCACTTAAGTGTGCGCAAACACAAGGCATTTGTTGTGGTTTTACAGGAACTCTTGGTACATACATACATACAAGTAACCATATATATGACACAATATAGTTATAGAAGTTCACAGAACTGACTCAGCAACAGTTGAGTAAAACTGTTTCATCTGAGCATGTGGCACTTTAAGCATTAACGTATCGCACGCATATCGAATATCGCATTATTTAATGAGTTAT